AGCCTACTCAAATTGGGCAAACCCATGAGAGATGGGCCAGGGTCCTTCTTCAGTCTCGTATTCATCAACTTCAATAGAAGCAAGTTCTTTAGAGATGAACCACTTACCCAACTTGGTAACTCCTTTAGACTTCCATTCAAATGTAATTTTTGAAGGTTTGGAGGTGGACACACATCTTCCAACTCAAACCAGTAATCTGTTTGAAGCATTAGAGAGCGCAGATTTATTAATCTTGAAATGCATGAACATACTTCTCTCCACTGTTCCTTTCTCAATTTAACCAAACCCAACTTTCTCAGTTGCCTCAACCTCCCAAGATCCTTCATCCACATGCTGTTTTCTGGTGCTTCAAGGAAGCTCACCTTTTGTAATGAATCAAACTTTCCAATATTGCATGTTACCTTAACACCACATGATTTATGATCATACAAAGAAAAATAATAGTCCACATTTGTTTCTCCATTCAAATATACTATTTTTTTGTCAACATGACGTTTCGAATACTCTATTTCAGCTTGATGGCAACGAGAAATTAAAAGATGGCGAAGCTTTTTATGCAGCATTGATATCTCTTGAGGTAACTCAGCAATTAAGGTGTACTTAAGGTCCAACATTTCTAGCCTTTCCAAATTCCCAATAGACTTTGGAAGCTTTGAGATTTTAGTATTTCTCAAACACAAATACCGTAGGAGGAGCAAGGTGCAAATTTCTTCAGGAAATGCATCTAAGGGAGCTCTTTCCAAATCTAACACACTAAGCAGCTTATTAAACTTGAAGCCAATATCACGCGATAAAAAAGTATCATTTGCATTTTCCTCAGCCTCATCACCAGGGATATTAAAGAACATCAATAGAGATCGTAGTCGTTGAGGCAATGCCAAAAGTAAGTTAATGTCGATACCTCTCTTTGTCGCATTTGCATGGATACATAATCGCCTTGCTCCAACGTCCACCGTATCTGCCATTTGAACAAATCTCTCTTCTTTGGACTTTGAGAGAACAATATCTCGTAGAAAGTCGTGGATGCGATACCACTTCACCTTTCCACTTCCATCCTTTCTTTCTTTAACTATTTGTATCAAGCTTCTGTTAACAAGCTCACACAAATAGCTGTCAGCGTCTTCCTCCATCGTTCTTCCATCTCTCTTTGCCACAAAACCTTCTGCGATCCACAACCTAATCACTCTCGTCCACTTTATGAGAGAATCTTCTGGGAAAATACACAAGTACATATAACAAGGTTTGAGGTGATCAGGCAAATCATCAAAGCTCAAAGAGAGTATCTTTTTGGTCATTTCTAGTTCAGGATTTTCCTCTAACTCAATGTTAAGACTCTCTTGAACCTTCTTCCACTCGTCAACGTCACCCAACTTTTTGGTACTTAAAAGGCCACCAATTGCCAATATAGCAATAGGAACTCCCTTGCATTTGTTGAAAACAATGTCTTTGCAAATGGGTTCCAAATGGGAAGGGCAAGGCTGTTTTGGGAATGTTCTCTTACAGAACAGATCCCAGGAATCTTCTTGAGTCAAAGGTTGTAGTTGATGGACATCACCACCATACTCCACGCTAGAGTGGTTTGCCACGTGTGCCATGCGAGTTGTAACAATCACTCTGCTCCCATTGTTGTTTCTGGGGAATGACATTTTAATCTGATCCCAATGTTTTGTTTTCCACACGTCATCAACCACAATCAAGTACCTTTCATTCTCAAGCCTTTCCCTCAGTTTTTCTTTCAACCGATGTAATGGCAGTTGTAACAGTTGTTGCATTTCCAACATCTCTCCATCTTTGGAGAACAGCTGCTCAATTAAGTCTTTGAAAAACTCATCTTCCTTCAAGGTTTGGGAAACAATGCCAAACGCACGTCGTTCGAAATGGGACGACATGTCACGGAAGATTTGTTTGGCTAAGGTTGTTTTGCCCAACCCTCCCATGCCAACAATGGAGACTACTTTGAGACTGAGGTCACCATCGTTGAGCAAATTCACCACCTCCTCCTTTGCTGCATCTATGCCAACCAATTGCCTTTCGTCAACCGAAGCTGCAACATTCTTTCGAAACTGATCCATCTCTGAAGGGCCTGCGTCTGAGCTTGAACTCGAAGCTTGCTTGAAGAGTGAAGGATCATAGCCATACCTTTTTGGACGCTCTGCTATTTCACTCACTCTGCCTCTGATGTTTTGTAGCTCAGAACCGATTTGGTGCCTTGCTTTCCACTTTTTGAAAGGGGAACAAATGCTACGGAAACAAGTGTTATGTGCACTACCTACACCATCATCATGTTAGAGCAGCTTCAACAAAAACTTTGGTGCTAAGGTCATAAAATTTCGATACATTGTTTTCTAAATACACGAAAAAGAATATATTCAATGGAATGCAAAATCTTCAACCAATGTAAATGAGGGATGATTCTAAATTGATACACCTAAACCAAAATCAAACAATAAAATTCTAAATTGATTAGCCAATTTCTAAATCTTAATTTACTTTTGAAATCCGAAGTAATCACTTTTCATATCAATTTGGTTTCTTTTGATTTCTTAATTCGCCCATAAACGCGAGTCAATTCCTTTTTAACCTGAATATGGACAAGTTCGTATATTTGGGTATTTTTAAGTAAACAATTTTAACTTTATGTTTTATAATTTATCAATGCTTGTGTTTTGAAAGTGAAAAACTATGGTACTGTATCATTCATAAGATAACATTAAAAAAGTAAATTTTTATAAGTTTTGTTAAGTTTAACTCTTAAAATTGAATTTAAGAATCTAAAAATAAAAAATATATTAAAAAAACATATTCATAACATTAAAGATATAAAAGTGTAATAATATTTTTTTAATAAAAATTTACTATTATTAGTTACTTAAATTTAGTCTCAATAACATTTTTTATTTTTTAATATCTTAATATTATTACACTCTTGCTTATCTTAAAACTCAAAAAATAATTTTTAAATGTTAATACTCGTTATTAGAAAAATTGTAAAAATGATGATGGCGAATTAATGCATAATAATTAAATTCATAACACAAGTTACTTTTTTTTAGAAATAAGTATTTATAATAATTGTCTTATTTAACTATTAGTGCAATATTTTTTTTATATTTCACCAGTTTTTTTAATTTTTTGGGAATTTTAAAAAATTATTATTCGACTAACTTGTTTAAAATTATCATAAAATATTCAATATTGTATTAATAAATATAAGTATGCTTTACTTAATATAATTTAACAATTAACCAAATGACTATTTTTTTTTGGTACTTTTTTTTTCTCTTTATACATATTAATATCAACAAAGGTATTATTTTTAGAACATGTTATGTTTGTGTATCATATTGTATCCAATAATTTGGTGCCACATAACTCTAAAATTATCTTCCAAAGTAATCATAAAAGATTAATAAATGTCAACTACAATCTAACACGAAATAGTTTGAGCTACATATATCAATATAAAACCTAAACTACCAAAATTATGTAACATATAGTTTAAGCAAAAAATATCATATCAATAAGCTAAGAAAATCACACAAAAGGTTTCTTATTACCTGCATCATCATCGCTAGCAATTTGAAGCAAGTAGTCATCGACAACATCTTCTATCTCAAAAGCAACATCTCTCACTTGCTCCACCCATGGCTTAAGCCTTAGGTCTTTCTCTTGTTGGACATCAACAAATCTTAGAAAAGCTTTCATGGTTGCAAGTTCATCTTTAACCTTCTTAATTTCATCTTTCACTCCTTTCTGCAAATTTACCTCTTCCTTCACCACCCGAGAAAGTTCATTTAGTAATATTTCTACCACACTATCTGCCATTTTTTTTTCTTCCTATCTTAGTCTCTCTAACTCAACACCTTTTCTCTTTGCAGAATTAGGGAAAAAGCAAGCTTGCTAAACTTGAAATTCTTCTTGGTAGCAATTCCTATGATCATATGCTCAAATTTATATGTAAAATATTGTGCATGCATTGTTTTGAAGCATTTTGGTGCACCTTTACTTGTAAGTTGTAGTGTAGGAAAGTATCTATTCTTTTCATCTTTCTTAACAGAGCATGTGTGCCAATTAAGGTAAGAATTATTCTTATTCTTAAAAAATTAAACAAGAATAATTGTCCTATAAACAATTTTTTTTTTTCCTTCAAAAACTTACTGTCAAACAAAACATAATTTGAGCAAATTGATACAACAAAAGTCAAAGTAGTTATATATAAAAACTTCAGTATCGCATTATATAATATATTATTGTACAAAAATTTTATTTTTACACAATAAAATAAATTTTTTATTTTTTTAGAGGAAAAAATAATTTAAATATATTTTAATCTTTAATATGATATTTTTAATGAATTCTGATTTATTTTTTTATATTCAATCCATAAAAAAATATTACAAAATTTTAGTCTATGTAAATATTTTATTGATATCATAAAAATAGATATTTTTATTAAATGCAAAGACTAAAAATTAACAAAAGAGTAGTAAAAAAATATTATATTTTTAGAGAGCAAAACATAATGATATTAATATTTTACATTAATAATAACATACATATATCAAATACTAAAAGTGGAATAAATAAAAATTTAATAATATATTGTTTGTAAGATAATATTTGTACATATTACGAGTGAAATGCTAATTAAAAACTAAAATTGCCGATAATATATAAAAAAGTTTTGTTTGAAGAAATTATAATTATTCCGACATTTTTTATTATTTTAACACGTCTATGATTTTGTTTTCTCTATTTTTATGAACTCGTATTTAATACTGATAATTTTTTATTATTAAAAATAGTTTTTCTATCGCTCATTAATTTAAATATAGAATATTTAAGTACATAAATCTTTTAAAATAAAAATTTAATTTTAATGATTCAAAAAATTACAATTAAATAAAATATAAATACTTCGATAGAAATAAACTAAAATCACACGTACTAAAAATATACAAAAGAAAGGAACAAAGCTTGAAAGTTGAAACAAGGAAACCCTCTGAAATCATACTAAAACAAACCTTGAATTCGCTGCGCTCACTAAGAACCTCTGGAGAGTGAAAGTAGCGGCGAGTAGAAGGAAGCGCGTTTTGGATGGAATCGGCGTTCTTATTAGGGTTGAGAGAAGAGGCAAACGCGGAAGAGGAGACAGTATCATCATCAAGTGCACCAAGGTTGGTCCCTTGGTTGAACTGGGACGAATGGCTTTTCGTTAAACGCGCTCTCTTCTCTGATTCCCCTCACTCCGTTTCCTCTGCTCTCAGAAGAGTATGTTTCTTACTCTTCTCTTCATTCTCGTAACGCGCTGTTACTTCACAAACATAACCGAACGTTTTCTCCGTTTCAGATTTCGGCATGGCGAAGTCGAGGTTCCTTGCCCGTTCTCATCGAAGTCACTGCTTCCATCATCGAAATTCAGATCAAAGATCCCTGGTTCAGGTACCTGCAACATTTTCCATTTTTTATGATAGAAAAATGTGTTTAAGGCAATGTTGTTTGATTTAATTGTAGAGAGGATCAACCGAATGATGCATCGCTTTCCGATGAGATGCTTGCTATGTTGTATTGTATGGCAATCATGAGGTCTGAATTCGTCACTATTTATTTTTTATTTTTTTTTAATTTATCGTGTGAAAGTTTAATTGTTTTGTGGTTTTAAGGCTTGTGAATGGTGCTGTTGAGAAGACGCGCAAGAAAGAATTGGTTTCGATAGCTGTGGCAGCTGATGCAATTGGTATTCCGCGCATGCTGATTGATATTCGCCATGGTAGTAAATCTTCTCCTACGTGGTGGTCAAAGAAGTTCACATATTCTCTGGTTTTATTATGTCTGGATTGCCCTGCTGGCTGCTTTTTTTTACTTACTTATTGCTGCAATTGCAGAGGGATCACATCGTGAGCTTCCATCGCTTAAGATTGTGCGTAGTGCTTCTGTGAAGGTGTGTTTCCTTTTGGTTTGTTTGATCATTTATCTTAACAATCTCCTTACTTTTTTTTATTAAATTCAAAGCATGTGTGGTTTGTGGCTGGGGTTACAATTTTAGCATTCAGGAAATAATTGGAACAAAAATTCTTTTGGAGGGTCTGTGTCCAACATAAACACTTGGGATGTATGAAATAAAAATCATGTTCTGGTAATGATATGAAGGACTGAATACATGCATGTTGGCAACTAAAATCTATTATTTCTTTAGACGAGAAAGAATTATTATTTTCTGGTTGTTATAGAATTACTTTCATGCAATCGTTTTTCCCTCCTGTTTACATTTTTCTTACTTAGGCTTTAGTAATTGAGCGCTAGGATAATGCAATTCAAATTACAACAGGCATCATTGGTTATATAAATTATACACTAAACTAATTTCACATCATGGGATTTCGGTAACATCTACTTTAAGATTAAAAGGATGTAAGTAAGAAACTAATTAATAGTTTTATTCTTCCAATGTATAAGCTTGACTATATCTTGGTTGAAAGTGATGTTCTAAATCTGGCTTGTGGTTTGAAGCTATCATCATCATTTGAAGTAGAACAATGTATTCTGTTATTATCATCATCATCATTATTACCTCAGTGTCCAAACTCATCTAATGTTTTTCTGATAATTTCAGGCACTTGATTGGCTAAAATCATATTATTGGGAACCTCAGAGCAAAGCGATTCCTTTTCAAGGCGAAGGAAATGCAAAAGTAAAGAAAGAGATTAAGTCTAAGATTCGTGAATTAGCTATCTGCTTGAAAGTCAATGGGAGTGCGCAATCTAGTTCTTCACTCCTAAAGGGAAAACGTGAGTAAGCTTTGTTCATTCTCATCATTTTTTGACTTTTATCACTGTCATACCCTTGTTTGTTCTAAGTCAGATACCTTCTGTTCCACCTATTCATTGAGTTCTCTATTATGTTTTCCTATTTTCTGTTTCTTTTATACACATGAAACTTGTGACTGAAGAAGCAATCTTGTCCATGCTTCTTTCTGTATATAGTTTCCATATAGTAGTTATTGAATTGTTTTTGTTTGTTTATTGCTTTATGACCACATTTTATCTCCTCCCCCTTGCAAACATAAAAAGGAAAGGAAAAACTATATTAAAAAATATATTTCTGTGAATGGCTTCTTTTTTCATTACCGTTCTCTCCCTTTGAGAAGAATGCCATGCTTTGCTTTTGAATATAAGGATGAGTTTATGCAGTATTTGTTAACACATTTCGAGCCATTTTTCAATTATTAATGCATGTAAAAATAGTGATGTAGCATTTTATTCAAATATATTGTAAGTCTAGACATTATGGGTTAGTTTGCTGGTGAGATGATTTTCAACAGCATATTTTTCCAGGCATTTCAAGGTTTTATTTAAAGGGAAAATGATATCTTTGATGAGAAACTCCTATTTCAACTATTTTCACAATTTAAAAACAAAAAAAAGTGAAAAATCATTGCCTTTTAAAAGAATCGTCATTTTTCCATATATTATTTCAACTGAGTTCTAGCACTTGTGGATTTGTGTCCAGCATGTGAAGGAGGTTTAATATACTAGCTGATGCACTATAAACAACTGCTACATACTACATTATCCTTTTGGAAGTAATGGAGTTTTGTTGACATAAGAGTTGCATATTTCATTTGGCTTTGTATGCTTACAGCCTAGTGATATTATTTGATTTATTTTGTAGAAAGTATTTGGTCTAGTAGCTGGGGTTGTGGTAGGTTTTTTTTTTTTAAAACTAAAAAAGGCTTGCACGTGCCATTTTTTTTGTCTATTTGAGAAAATTCTGATGAGTATTTTTTTCTTTTAAAGGGATCAAGCATGGTGAATTGCCTTTTGGGCCTAATAAGCTTTTGTTTCTTATGGTTGGCAAGAGTCAAATGTTGCGAACTGGAGGTATCATAATATTCTTATTTCATATTAATACAATAAAACTTATTTTTCATCTTTGTTTAGCATACCTCTTTATATGTGTGTGTGTGTATAAAAGGAAGAGAAAATATGCAGAGAGATGAGGGGCTAGGCATCCTCTAAAAGAGAAGAAAATTGTGTCTAAGTCCATGCTTTTATGTTTTTTTACCCTTCTACTGAATTATTCATTCATAGAAACTTAAGTGTTGCATTCCCTTAAAGCTGATTAACAAAACAAATGAGAGAGATTCTTTTTCCGAGTTATTGGATTTTTTTTATTTTATTCTGAAAAATAGCTAAAACTAAAGTAATTTGTTAGATCATCTTCAGTTATAATTAATGTTTCAGGGTATTCATGGTGTGATTTCTCATGATACTTTCAGGACCTAAGAAACAGAGTTCAAAGATCTTAAAATCTGTTCTGCGTTTATATTCCTCCTTTTCCTCAGAGATTGTTGCTGTGTTGTTGGAGTATTTGTTGAAAGCTTTAAGCTCCTCAGAGTTCAAAGAAAAAAATGCAGATGATGCTTCTGGTGGTCCAACTGTACAAAATGTTTTGGCTGATTGGAAGCTTGTCATACTCAAATTGTCTAATAAGGAACCAGAATTACTTCTGAACCTTCTTAAGGAAGTTCTTGATATGATTGAGGCTCAGGAAGGTATGTAGCATGGAGAAGGTAGGTAGAAATACTCCTTCTACAGTACAGTATCCATTTGATTATGTATCGTTTCTGGTTGAAATTTAATCTTTTAATTGTTCTCTGGTACTTGTGATGCATTTTTCTTGTGTGTATTTGTCTTTTGATGCCCTATTTATTTACTTATTTCATGTGAGATGCTTTCTACGGCTTTTGTAATGTACTACTAATCGGAATGCTTTTTTGATTGGGTTTCCTTAAGTATAACTTCTGCCTTAAGCCAGCATGAAGTCAGATATTGAGTTTTAAAATTCTTTTTTTGGTCATGTTGGTTTTGGATTTTTTTTTTTTAAAAGCATGACTTTTGTACATTTAGTTTCTTCATTATTGTTCTTATGGTGGGTGTTTTCTTTTAGTAGATGACCCAAGTATTGGGATTTCACACTCGAGGGAAGAGTTTCATCAGAGTGGTTATCTTTCTTCTTTGTTTGCATGGCTTGTTGGAATTTTCAGCAAAGTTTCTTCTGCAGCTGCAAATATGCCAAAAAGGGTTTTGGTGGAACTTCTTCATAAATGTCTTCTAATATCACAACTTTGCAACAAGCAGCTTATGGATTCAGCCTTTCATCTTGCAGAACTAATGGATGACAGCTACTTGTTGGAGAAAGTTAAAAAACTCTCTGTTATTAGTTTGTCCAATTTTGACAAGACCAATGATCAAAGCGCTTTGTTGACTTCAAAGAATATTTTCCAATTTGAGGAATCAATACTTGAAGCAGCTAAAAAGCTAGAGTTAGTTAGACAACAGATAATGAAAAATAAACCTACGGAAATGGATTGTGAGACTAAAAAATCACAGAGATGGACTTTGGCAAAGTCATGGAACCCGTGTCCCATTGGCATGTTGCCCCGCGCTGTTGGTTCATCTGGTTGTCTTCCCATCCTTGACAATATTGAGAATGAAAAACAGAATCAAGCATCAGAAAGGAAAGAGAATTGGAAATTGATACAATGTGGTACCAAGAGAGATGCCACTTTCGACCTTCCGCTACTTGATAGCTCAGCTGTTAAGAAGATGAGGGAGACCAAAGAGTTCGGTGAATTAAACTACGAATTGCAAACAGAAGGGGAGAAAGGATGTCTCATGGTAGGCGGAGTTTGGAAGAAAATTATGGAAGAGGAGCTACTTGCCATTGAATCTTCTGTAAGGATTTTAATTTAATTTCTAATTACTGCTTAGAAAGGTATGGCACCCATAAGATGCTGGTGCCTGGCCTGAGTTGTCGAGCATTTTTCAGTTACGGCTGTTATTTGATGTTAAAGATTTATAAAATATCTCATTTAACAGCTTATACATGTTTTACAGTTCACGTTTGTTTAATTGTTGTCTTGAAAGCAGAAAAAGAAAAAAGGTTACTGCAAAGTTCTTTATGTCACAATATACACTGTAATCTTGGTTTAGAAGGATGCAGTATATATCAGACCTTATTACCCACTTCATAAAAATAACGAAATTATGCAATTCAATGAACATTACACAATCGTGTACCTTAATTACCTGAATGACATTCATGTAACCGGAATTACATGCTACATTATTTTGTCGTTGCTCCATTTTCATTTTGCTGCATTTGCAATCGGTTACAATCGGAAACCAATGCTATATCGTGGTCGGCTGGTAGAGAAAAGTTCAGCAGGGGCGACCTGAGAACACATGAGCTGAGTAATGTATTCTGAACTGAGAACAATCTTCATGTGGTCTCAGGTCGACCCTGTAGAACCCCTCTACCTCCATACATTTTGGAAATGTTTTTGCCTAAACAGAAACATTGAATTTTGAATCATGATTTTTGAATGTAATGAGTTTCCAGCCTGATTCAACGGATATATAGCTTCAAGCTTGGTACTTCTAGGCTTTAGATGTAGTACACTGAAGTACTCGTCATAGAATGAAGGAATATGTTTGTTTCGTGAGAGTACAACGGTTGTACTACTGATTTCAACACAAATCAAAGACGCTTCGTGGTAGTACTACCGCTTCCCGTTACCAACACGTCAATACAAAATATAAATATCGTTGGACTTAGTCAAAATTAAAAAGAAAAAGAATTGTAAATGCATGGGCTTTGTAGCAGTTAAAAATGAAATTTCTCTCTTACAGAGGTAGAATTGTGATGAAAGAAACAGTAAAATATATAAAACCAGAAAAAAAAAAAAAGGTGTAGGTTTCAGGATTTATTCCGGATTTCCATGCTGTGCAATATACCTCAAATATCATCAATTTGGTTGTTGTAGTTTAGGTGTACAATAATACATATTTACTTTCCGTAGTAAGGGTTATTTTAATAGGAACCAACACGAATATTATATGATGCGGATATTTTAAATTTAGATAAAATTTAAAATATACATCTTTAACGAAAAAGTGTTTAGCAGAAACAATGTTCAAAATTAAAAATGAATATGCATAATTAATTCAGGTAGAATTTAACAAATATATTCTAAAATAAAAATTACAAAAAAAAAGAATTATTTTGAAATAAATTAAATTTAAAATTTTAAAAGAGAAATATCAAGAGCAACGTGTCATCTTTGAAGGGAGAGTAGAGTTAAATTTAATAATTCTCAAGATAACGTAAATTGAATATCTAAAAGAGGAGAATTTGAGATTTGAGAATGAGCAAATTTTAGTGTCAAAATTAAAATTTTAGAAAAAGATAACTTAAGAATATAGGTAGTTGAGATTTAAAAAAAAAAAACATAATGGCTTTATTTTATCGTATAAGGATGAAAAATGAAGAATCTTAAACAAAAAATTGTAATAAAAGTTTCTAAACCAATTTGCTGATTTATTTTGTATATATAAACCAACAAAAATCAAATCTTGACGTCGTAGCTAATTCAAAGTTGGAACAATTGATAATCGCGAGGAATTGAATTAGATGCACTCTTTACTCTGCAAAAATGCATTACGGCATTACTTTGACTGTCACGAGGGAAAAGAGATAAAAAAAGGGTAGGAAAAGAGTACCTTAGTTGTTAAGAGAACAATCTTTGCATGCATATTGCTGCATACATAGTAGAGAGTGAAAGGTTAAAAAGCCTATGAAATTGCCCTTTCCGTTTACTTTTAAATGCACGACCATGGCTGAATTTTTCTAATACCCTCCACACTGCTTGACCTAAATTGTTGTCTTTCCTAGGTATTCTTGTTTTTTGTCTTTAAGCCCTCTCCACTAACCATCACTTTTTCACCTTTTATTCCCTTTACCTAACAAAGTTTTTCAGAGAAAAGAGAAAGGAAAATGCTCAGTGTGGTGATTACTATTTCTGACAATTCTTTGGTGTGATATTCTAAAACAAAACGACTTTCAATAAACAACAATAATTTTGTAAAGACATGTTAGTTAATCCTTCATATTCCTTAATTTACATTACCTTGTACCAACATATCATCATTTTACACTAAGAACGTACATATCTACATTGATTTTGCATAAAAATTAGTCTATAATGTGCATATATATACACAATGTAATCAATTATAGATAATGAAAAGCAAGTTATGCACAGTAAAATATTTTATATTGAATAATGGGACCCTTGATAGAAAAAGAGATGGATATAGTGTGAACGTAACCACACTGACGAGACAAATGCATGAGGGCTAATGATGCAAAAATCCAAGGAATAGGCACATTTGGTGATAGACTAAAGCTTGCTTGCTCACATTGTCCTTCGCATGTGAATTTTCATCATTTGGCTGAGATGCGGTGGCGAATTCTTCATGTACTAATGAGGCGCTCTTCGCAGGAAGCACATATCATTCATATTACTTTATTAAGGTAGAAACATCAACTCAGAATCCCCCACCAAGATTTGTCTTGAAAAAAAAGTTTCACGTTCACTAAGAGTAGAAAGTATATAAACCAAGGCAAAGCATGATATATGTATTGACACATTAATTTCCGTTCTTTTTCTTAGTAAAGTTATGAAGGTTATGATTTCATATTCCAAATTATAACCACTCTTTCAAAATCAGTTTTTGATTTGTTTAATTGAACATTTGAAATAAAGTTTAGTGATTTCATTTGAATTATGTGTGTTTACATATACTATACTTGTGCAAAAATGATCAAACTTGAAGGGAAAAAAATATTTTCTGGCTAAAAATCTTGAAAACTTGCAAGGGTTTTGAAGTTTTTTAAGTTAATGGTTATAGCCTTATAGGTACCACCTTTTTGTTGTTAAGGGTTCTTATTCCCTCCATTGAAAGTACAACTTTTAGTTTTCAAACTCTTCAAGTGTCAAAGAACAATTAAGATGAACACAATTTCTGTCCTTCAAATTTCAAAGCGAAATCATGCAACGAAACCTCGGTGTTAGCTTTTATAAAACCATTAACTAACAAAAACCACTAAGCTTTCAAACCTTCCCTTTTTGTTAATTAATTCAATAATAGTTGCTTTTGGAGGCATCTTCGCTATTTGTATTTTTTTAATTTAGTTGCCACATGCTGATCTTCACATGTTATGCATTTAGATTTGTGCATGATACATAAAAGACAAAACTCTCTCTCTTCCTCTCCAAAAAAGATATGCAGTGGGTCACATGGATGGAGATAGATCATGTGATGCAACAAATATTGCCCATTTTCACTCAGTATATATTGGAAACTGAAGATGTTAGTAATGTTAAGTTGGAATAGAATCTTCTCATTATTGAAATATCTATTTGGACCTTTTGGATTCTTAGCAGTGAGTATTTTAGAGGCTTCCTAGCTATATTTTGACCACCAAACAGTGTCCAACAAATCAAAAAACTCATGAGTAAAAAGAGATGCTTAATTGGATGTGAAGATGGTGCTACAGTGTGTCACTTTCCACATATATTTTTCAAAGTAAAAGTGAGAGAGAAGAGAAGAGTGTGGAAAGGAAGAAATCAGAAAGAGAGTGATGAATGTGACCCCTCCAACAATGGAATCTAGAGCTATAGAATGTTGTGCACAGGATCATTTTCTTTCTTCTCTCATTTAGTTAGGCTGCATTGAAAATTGAAATATATATACCTTATCTATTCAACTAAAAGACAGAAGGTTCGCTTATAATAATCATGCAGTATATATAATAAATACATTATTCCATGATTGAAGACTAGAAAGAGCTACTTCTTCTATATGTCTTAGGTCACGGGTGTGCTTCGGATTGTACAAAAATGAATAAAGGTCAGAATGTTCTACCTTGATAACAAGGTACCAAGCACTTTGAGTATATAATAACTTTATTTCTATTATGTTCTCTAGTTATGTACAGATGGCAACTTTGAAGTACGTAGCTATAGTGGGAAAAGATTTAAAATGGTGATCCTCGTGATCACAACCAAACAGTGATCCCCACAACACAAATATCCCTATAAAAGAAGAAAAGGTATTTCTTCTGAAAATAAAGGGCGGTTTTGATATGATAGCTGAAAAAAAGAAAATTACAACCACATAATTATTGAATAGTGTTTATCTTTTCTGACTTCTGAGACATTTTTCTCAAGCTGGAAATCAAAAAGTCATGATTTGGGTGATCTAAGAAAGTTTCTATTCCATCAATCCTTAGTACTTTATTTGCATAAGGTTGTTGATGCATGGATGAGATTAAACAGAGAAGAGTCTCTTGAGTGATCAACAGATCATCACTTGAGTGTATAGATATAACAATTTGATGATGAAAAATAAAGATAGATTCATATTCGTATTTTTTTTAGTATTTGATTATAGCAATATTTATCTTTATAGATAGATGGATATATAATGGAAGAATCATTATTCAAAAATAGAATGCCATATAGTCCTATATATCCTTACAGGCTTCCAGCTTTCAAATGTATTCATTTTGAATAGAAATTTTACATGGGTATCAGTTAGGGGAACTTACATGATTAAAATTTAATGTAAAGCAAATAAGGGCCAATTAAAAAATTCTCTATTATTATAAGAAGTTGAGATTATCCCCGCTCATATTGGAAAAAAAAATGTATCAAAGCAGGTTTTAGTTCTAGTTTCCAAGTAAAGACGAGGGTGGAGGGGAGGGAGGGACCAACAAATTGAACAACTTCTGACATTGATATTATAGTGGGCCAATGAATACATAAAAGTAAGTATTTTTTGAAGGACTATCGCAACCTTCCAAGTTTCAGCTCCATACAATAGTATTTGTCTTACAGAAAGAAATGATTAAAATATCGCCTTTCAATTTAATTATTAGTCTAGGAATTTGCAGTGGACATGAGATCTTTGTATCTATAAATAAAAAATCACTGTATTATGCAGTCTTTTGCATTTTCTTTTTGTAACTTCAAACTCAAATTAAATGATATAACCACCCCATTTCATATTTTAAGTTTTTGATTAATACACCCCCTCCACCTTCTCTCCAGAATTTGAAGAATCCTATAAAAATATATCCCACTGTATTTTGTCCAAAATAAAAATAGAAAGTAGCTCATATCTCTAGAAGCATCAACTCTCCACTACTGCATCCAAGAGAACAATCAATAGCTAATTATAATAGCTCCTTGGATCTTATTATAGTTTATCCTAGAAAAATACATTGTTTCTACTGACATGGTCATATGCTTCTTAAAGTTTGTAAACAACAGAAATAAGAAGGGGTCGAGCAAAGAATAGTTATTTAAGTGGGGTGTCATATGTTTCTGTTTCATAAAGTTGTAAAATTATAATATAAGAGAGAGAGAGAGACAGAGGTTTTAAAACTTGCTGGTGTTTAATGTGAATGAAGAGGAGAGTAACAAAGCATACAATTGGAAGCAGCTAGCACTCTTTGGTTCAGTGATGGCTTTCACACTTGACAGGTGTGAAGATAGTATGGTGTTCACAATGGAGTCTCAGAAGTCAGTGCCTGCTCCCTTCCTGACAAAGACATACCAACTTGTTGATGACCCTTGCACTGATCACATTGTGTCTTGGGGTGATGATGAAACCACATTTGTTGTGTGGAGGCCCCCTGAGTTTGCTAGAGATCTTCTACCCAACTATTTCAAGCACAACAACTTCTCAAGCTTTGTTAGGCAACTAAATACCTATGTGAGAATATATATATATATATATATTTTTTTTTTTATTTTTTTTCTATATAACTTCTTTGTTCTCTATCCTTCATGATTTATTTGTATCACCTTCTATACACTGCTTGTCAAAGTTAGCCTAATCATATTACTAATTCAGAAGAATGTGGAAATGGAATCCTCTCATAGTATCAAAAGATCAAAAGTTATGGTTTTATCTTCGTTTTTCTTTCACTATTTGAACCATAAGGCTAACTGATTACCAGCTATACCATTTTTTTATTGTTCAGTATTATTTGCTACTTGAGCTTCATGGTTGACTATGTTAATAAAACAGCATATATGTACATTTTCTATTGTTGCAGGGTTTCAAGAAGGTAGTTGCTGATAGGTGGGAGTTTGCAAATGAATACTTCAGAAAAGGAGCTAAGAACCTCTTATGTGAAATCCACAGGAGAAAAACCCCTCATCACTATCAACAACACTACCATGACCAACCACCACAGCTTCTTCAGCCTGATGAAAATCTCTGTTGGATTGATACTCCATCATCATCCCCTAAGTCCGGCACTGATATCCTAACAGCACTTTCTGAGGACAATCAAAGACTTAGGAGAAAGAACTTCATGCTCTTATCAGAACTCACTCACATGAAGAATCTGTACAATGACATTGTATATTTCATCCAAAACCATGTAAGTCCTGCTCCCTTTGAACAAAGAAGCAGCAATGCTATCTTGAAGCTTGTAGAATTGGACTCATCACCTCAATCACCAAATGTTATTAAACCAGCTAAGAACCGTGCTATGGAGAAGTCTTTGATAACTTGTAGTGAGGAGCCCAACAGTTCTGTGAAGCTCTTTGGTGTACCTCTTTGTGGCAAAAAGAGATTGCACTCAGGTAACTTTGATCAACCAGAATGATTCGAAGTCAAAGCTTCACATGATGATCACAGGCTTGTATTGGATAGCTTTGGTTGATTTTGTTGACATTTAAAAAGAACTCTCTTGTCATGTATAGAAGAAGCTAATGTTCAGATTAACTAAATTGTTGTTTCTCTTAAGAATTCTCCATTAGTTGATATGTTTCTTGGGAAGAAAAAAGAAAGTTGTTTGTTTGCTTATTTTGGAGTAAGAAATAACAATAGCTTGTTAATCCCTTTTTCATTTCCTTATGTTCATCTCTCTTTTATTATTTCTTATTTTCTAGATATGTAATTCAAATTATGTGTTAGTATATCACGTTTCCTTCTTTATTTCCTAATTAAAAAGTGACATGTGATTATAAAATAACATGCACTCTCCATTTCCCATTTGTTGGTTTTATCAAAAAAACTTTTGTGTCACTTTTTAAATGGAGAAACAAGAAAAGGGGAAAGTGATTTGGTTACTTCTTAACATATCATAATAATAACCAAAAAAAAAAAGCTATAATAACAACCAGTAACATATCAAAATGACACTACCGGGGATCCAACACTTCCACAAAGAAAGGATCCAAACAAAGTAATGACTACAAAATGACAATTATTCCGGCCAATGCTGATTTTCTAGAACGCTCTTCTGATGGAAAAGACATTTGAACTTGGATTCACTAAAGACAGCAATCATACGATTCATACTCCAAAGCAAAATTGGGAGCATCTGTGTTTTAGAATCTTAATGGGGGCAATAATCCTTTCCACCACTTCAAACCATATAGGGCTTGTCTAGTAGCAAAACTAGTCTTTAACACATTATCATATATTCCACTAACTAGAGTTTTATATGACTTGATATTCACATCTATAATAATTAGGGCATTGTAAACCGCTTCTTAAAATATTTAAAATAGTAAATTTTTATTGAAATTTATATTGGTTTGCATTGAAAATCTACTTTAAATTTCCTAATTAGTGTTTTAAGAGTACTGCTTAGCATTCATTTAGTAATTATACTGAAAATGAGTTTGGCTTTTCATTGCTGATAGTTTTAATTCAAGTAATGTGCATTTCATTCTCCACTAGAACTATTATTCTTCATTAGGCAAGAGAATCAAGTAGAGAGAAAAGAAAACTATAATCAAGAAAAAATATTAGTAAAATACCAAAATAAAATTTTAAAAAAAGGAGAAAACAAAGAGGTAGTCATTATTTTTAGCTAACAATAAAAACTGTATTAAAAAAATATGTTGTTAATATTTTTATTGACTAAAACGTTGTAGTTAGTTGTTATTCAAAATTATCTTATATACAAGGTACATTGAAATGCTCATTATAATGTTTTTTTTAACTATATCAATAATACATTTTCAGTTTATTCTAATCACAATTTTTCTCCTCTTTAGCTCACAGCCATGTTTCTCCACAGTTTGTTCCTAATAAACAACTAGTTATTGTGGCAGTTCCATTTGGTCCTTCAATCCCCAGATTTAGCAATGTTTTCGTTATTCAACTTGACTTAATTCTTGCTTAATGTTCTTTGCCTAATTTTGTTGCTTTGCAGCAAAAATATGTATCATCATGAGGACAGGCTTGCAAATCCCACATCGGTTTCAGGGACTCACGTTGAAGCCCATTTTATTCAGCCCAACTTCCTTCCCTTACTGGATTTTATGTAGGCCTGTTTGTGAAGTTGACTGCGATCAATCGAAGGCACATTATGACCAAAAACGTAATGGAGGCCCATTTAACGGGCTAAGATAAACTAGGGCCATTTCTTTTCAAACTTCTCATTTTTCTATTCATACTTTCATTGATTATTTTTGTTACTTTCAAATATTAAAATTTAGTTGACCAAAAAAATTAGAAGTAAACTATTATAAAATTGATTTATAAATTATTTCTAGATTTCAATTTCAAAAATCCACTTTAATATATTTTAAATATTTAATTTTAGAAAAGTAATTTGTACCTCTGTAATTAAATTGTTGAAAAACTATCAAGCTTTTTTTTTCAGAAATAATTTTTCAGATAAGAAAGAGAGTTGTAAAAAGAAATTTCCAAATTTGGTCTCATTTAAAAACCAAAGGACCAATTATAGGGATCACAATTCGTAATGAATATTACTCCCATTGAGTATTTGACCCAACTTACTTGAAGAGTTTGAAGAAATACTTGCAAATATTTATGAAAAGGTATTATATATATATATATATATATATATATATATATATGATTGTTGTAATTTAGTAAGTAATTAATTTCAGGTAATAAATATGAGTTTAAATTTTAAAATATCTAAAAAGTATGAATATGAAGATCAAACTTATTATCTCATGTGATATAAAAAGAACTATCAATAATGTTTGAAAATTAAATATAAAGACAAATACCATAGGAGCATAGCCTACTCTTTACCATCCCTAAGTTAAAAGAGGCAATAATGATCATTGAGAAATGAAGTTGACGGTTTTAGCATCTGGCACATACACAGTTCCCATTCATAGAGAGGGAAAGTGATAATTTTATATGGACAAATATGTGGGGTAGGTGAGTTCAAAGTTGGTGGGGCTTGATGGATGAAATGTTCAAACTTTAGGGGACAAGCCCCAAAAGATTGTATGCCATAGTGGAAATATCAACATAACCAAAGAGGATATATATGCTTTAATAATATATTCTTTCTATTTCATTCATGATCAACATGAAGAAATGAAAAATCTGTTCATGCCATTTGCTCCATAGCCCATGAAGAGAAAAACACACAAAAGCAACATCCTCCAGCTTATGGTTAAGTGACATATTGAATTATCAATTTGGCGTTTTGTATAACCATGCATATGCATTCAGATAAGATTCCCGGGTTTCACTAAAGAATGTCATGATGCCCAAATTGCAACATCACCAACCCAATATTTGGCTCAAGAAAGTTCAATAATCCAATATTCTTAATGGTGTTGTCACAACCCACTCAATGCCTTAACTTTATCACAAGAAAATGTGAAACATTATGTACCTATCCCAAAGGAACCACTTTTGTACTACAATTGATTCTTATTGTGCTTAGTGATTGCCCATTGCAGGGTCATTTTTCCCAACAGTTCCTTTCTTGAGCCACGTTGCCCACTTCACAGACCAAAGAAAAGGTTGTTTTTCTCTGTGTCAATCTTGAAGGACTCCTTTTTGTGCTAACAGGGTTGCCTTATCCACCATTGAAATTCAACAGAAAAAGACTTCACTCTCCAACCCCTACCCAATTGTTGACCACATTCTACATTGCTTTTATCACAAACAAAAATGAAGGGACAGAATAATGTGACCAGTGTTTAAGTGTTTGACATTTTTTGGAATCCCTTTATTAATCATACTTGGTCAAGGTTCTTCTTGACTCTAATCTACTACAGCACTACACTCTCAAAGGAATGAGGTAAACTTGCATGATTTGCTTGCTTGCTTTGTTGTTCCACTTTTTGAAATCGATTTTAAATTTTAAATAAATGATCCTGATACTTCTAAAATAAAATTTGAAACACGTTAAATGATAATATTATTTTTTATTTTTTAAATATCGATTCTTAACTTTATAGAAACAAGTCTTAGTCCAAAAGATGCTGAGCACCATCATCACAAAGTAAATACTATTTTCTCACCCAAAGAAAATAAAGAAATCCAAGTCAAATAAAAGGCCATGCAGATAAAATAAAATAAAATAGAAGGCTGTAATTTGTTGGTTAAAGGATTAAGAGCGCTTCTTAAGAAGAATCTTAATATTTCTCATGGCCTTACTATTGAATTGTTTAAGGATTAGAATATATAATACTATTATATCTTGACCTGGTTGATAGCAAATTCTGAACCTTACCATCATTAATTCACTAAAATGTTTATACATAATGTGCCGATTGTTTGTGCCAGATTGTCTTGCCCTTTAATCTTGGCAATCTAAAACTTGCAATTGGTTATACATAAAGTCTTTTGTGCATGCATGTACAGTAATATTACCCTATTATCAATTCTGTGTTGCTCTTGATATCATGATATGACAAGAAGATTTGGCAAATCAGGAAAAATCTTGGGTAAGTTTAAAAAACAATTTAAATGAATGGCAAAATAAACATTTTAAGGTTCAATTTCAGTGGGTAAAGTTGAGCTGCTTGGTACCAAGATAAACAAGTAAAAAGAAAGGAAAAGGGCAAAGAAAGTTATGTTAAAAAGAATTCAATATCTTGAGATTTGCGATCAAATTCTAGAAGGTATTTGCAAGGTAGTGGAGGATCTAAAAATCATAAGATATTCAAAGCTAAAAGAATTATTATTCAAGAAATAAAAAAAAAAAAGAAATTCTGAATTATCTCCACCGTGGACCCAAAACAAAGCAGTGAGTGATGCTTAAAATCATAGCTATGCCTATACCTACATCTAGCTAGCTAAGTGCTTAATAATCACATCTTATTTAATAAATTAAAGAAAAGCTGTGATGATGGTTTAATATATGTTAAAAGAGTGTTTAATTTTGTAATTTTCAATTAATATTTTTAAAAAAGCTAGCTGAATGACTCCATAAACAACTTGCAAAAAATAAAAAAAGCATTAAACAAATTAAAGTGATACTAAAAACATTGTCTTCATTGAACAGTGACTTCATGCCCCATACAGTTTTACACAGAAATAACATTTTGAAAGTAGAAAATATTGTGAGGGCAAGTTGTGTGAAGATGGGTGTCATTTTCAGCATAAAGCCAAGTAGCAAGGTTGCATCATGTTGATGCATTGCACGGTTGGGAAGTGTGAGAAGCTGCATAATGCATTCATTGGTCTCTGTAAAGAAAAATGAATCAATTAAGAAAGACAACTCAACAAAGAGGTCCATTATAGGACATGGTGAGTCCATGGACCACCCAAAACCATCACTCACAAAATCAAAATCACCAAACTTTGAGAATTCAGAGAGAGGGCAATAATTGACACATTAAAATTCTACCTATTTATTAAAAATATATTAATAAGAATTTTATGTTAACCTTTGAACTAATATTTTTGAATACTGATATATACATTTGTGAGAAAAATATTAATTAATAGTAGATTTAAAATACTGTATATGATGGTTTTAATTTAAATAAAGAAATAAGAAAAAGTGAATGAGACTTAACTTCTGATGAAGAAAGTGAAAGTGAAAGTGAGAGTAAGAGGGAAATTGACGTTATTAGAAAGAAAGTGTCCCATTGAGTGTGGATCTGTGATTTGCTTCCACCGTCCAATTCTTCATTTTTCATTTCTCATGGCACTCCTTTTTAGGTCCATTCTTTCTATATTCACTCTGTTGCCTCATTTTTATATTTTTTTTTAACATGTATTTAATAACACAATAGATAATTAATAAATAAATTTTTATTAAAAGTTATAAATTAATTATAAATTATAAACTCTTACTTAACTTATGAACTATACATTTTTTTGTTAATTTTGGTCAAAAAGATTTATATAATTTTTTTTCCATTATTCTCTAGCATGAATGTTTTATCCATATGATTGATCAACAACAAGAGTGATCTCTCACTTCTTCATGACATTTTATTTATTTTATTTTAAGCTTTGGATGCTCTTGCTCAATGCTCTATTGACTATTATTAGTCACTTCCACCATGCACGTGACGCCTTCATTTTCTCTTAGGCCACAAAAATATATGGACTCTTTGGTTTGTTTTACTAAATAAAATATAATGTTTGTTTTTAATTATAAAATATTACTTTGCTTAATTTTTTTTTAATATTATACAAAATAGTAAAAATAATATTTTTTTTTATCAATCTTTGAGGATAAAATGTAAATAAAGTTACATTTTACAATTAAAAATAATCTGAAAAAATGGGTTGGGTTTTCTCTTTGTAAAAGTTGACGATGTGCTTACATACTCCCTCCTACACAATTCCACTGTAAACTAGATTTTCAACCAATGGATCATTAATTTGATGAGTAGCTCTGTGTCGGCAGTACGAAGATTTTAAGGAAGAATCTTATATTAATTCATGCAGTGATTTCTATTGGTTCATTTGCAGATTAAATAACAAAAGAACAAAGAGAATGAAACAAAAATCAAACCCGTAATTAGTATAGTAGCTTTTGTCCAAAATCTTTGTACCATCGAACAATTTAAAAGCTGATAATGAAAAGTAAAATTATCATTGTAACTTAAAAATCACGATGTTGATCAAACTTGTCACTTTGATATCCAGTCTTAAATTCACAAGTAAATTTAATACAGTGACGAACATTTAATTTGTTTTTATTCTAAGAACCTACAAATTTAAAATCATACTCACACGAAACCATGCATTGTGCATTATAACTCATCAGAAAAATACTTATATTCTTGCAGTACGTAAATCTACTTCTAAATATTGATAAATACGTGAGAAAGCTAAATTTATTTTAGATAATAATATGATAAAATTATTATAGATGTTTAATGAAAATTTGAATTATTGTAAAAAAAAATGGAGGGGATAATTGTTAAGATCTTGACATCTTGTTGTGAGGAAGAACATGTTTGTGGCAGTAGACGCAGCTGCAGTGGATCAGAATCCTCACCTTCTACTTTAATATTAACGAATCTTGTCCTATATACGTTATCCAATGTAGTTGCCTTTTCTAGCCAGACATATTTCCCTCCAACTGCAACTTGGTACAACAAAAACAAAGCGTACACTATTTTCTAGAGATAAAATAGTATACTATTCATAGAGGGTAGAAACTAAATAATTCTTCTTTTTTTTTTAAATTATGGTCAGGTTTATTATTGCTAATTTTTTTATGGGAATTCTTTTTATGATTGGATAATAGAAATAGGGTATGACATGGATATGTTTAGAGTAGAAATATGTTTGACATCCACAAAAATCTAACATAACCTCAGCCTCCCATTCACTTTGCATAAACAACTATTCCTTTTCCATTCATTGTCCACCAATTTTTCTCTATATTGTGCCACACATAGAACAACAACAACAACAAGAAGAAGAAAGAGAGAATTCTGTGATTGCATAAGAGAGGATAATAATTGAGGTGTGGTGAAGAATTTGTTGGAGTGAGGGGAGGACCCACCTACCCTTCACATTCATCATACTCTTCATCAATCTCTTTTTAATCCTTTTCTGTATTTTCTAACTGCACCACCCCAAGGATTGTCCTTTGCCTTGGTTCCATTGTTTTTGTGGATCTTGAGGTGTTAGGTGGGCCTCATAGGTTCTCATACTGCTTCAGTTTCAATTAGCTAGATCTAGACAGGAATTATATTCCCAGAATATTTATTTACTTACCAATGAGATTTTGAGATTCTGCAGATATGGTTCTTATTATATAGACTAAATTGCCATCTTTTTTTTTTATTTTTCAGTTCCGTTACCTTGTGTTATAAAACCTGTTATCAAATCTTTGGTGCCCCCACCTGCATTGGTTTGCTGTGTTCCTCTTCTCATAAGGACCATTTCTACACATTTTTCACTCTTCATTGAATGACAGCTGTTTAGGTTGACTACACGGTTGTGTTGTTCTCTTCTCTTTATTGGTTAGCATTAAGTTACTGTGAGCCTTGTTTGTTACCCAATTCCCATAATAGTGGCTCAAGGCAATTTTCATGGTTCATTCATATTGTCTACCTAATTTATTCTGATCTAGCTTTTGTCTAGGAGGCCCACCATTGGGTTTTGGTGGGCTTTCATTGAACCAATAAAAAAAATCCATCTTTAAAAGGTGTTTTGTTTTGAAGGTTTCAAATTGCTTCTGTGTTTCTTTCCATCAGGTAAGGAAAGTGTCATTTGTGTCAAATAGTGAGGTCATTTTGGTTTTCCTCTTGTTAGCCATTGTTGTTGCACAATTGGCATTAAGGCTCTATCATTTATGCCAAACTCAAACTTGACCTGTGAAAGACATCCTATCTGCTAATGCTACTTTACTTTATCACTTGCATCTCCTTCTTTCTGTTTTTAAAGCCTTTCCTCTTTCTCAAACCACTTCCATCATGGACAGGTGAGGTGAGGTTGATCTCCCTTTTGTTTTACAAAGAGTTGTGTGTGAAATCCTTATCTAAGTTGTTTAGGAATCGCCTTTGGCTTGGTTTTCTTTGTCAAATTCCTACAAGAATGTCTCTTGTGAAGAAGACTCTTAATTCAAAGGTGGAGAATATTGACGATTCCCAAGACATGTCACTGTTGGACTTGCCAGAATTGGTGTTGGAATGCATTCTTGAAAAGCTCCCTCCAGCTTCACTTTGTCAAATGGCTGGAGTTTGCCATTCCTTGAGGGAGAGATGTGTGAGTGATCACCTTTGGGAGAGGCACATGAAACAGAAATGGGGTAGAGTCATTGGTTCAGTTGCTTATAGGGAGTGGAAATGGCATGTTGCTTCCAAAAGGAGTGCTGGAAGTCTTAGACATGGCAAGCAAAGAAGCTTGATGAAGCTTGTGTCCCTTCGTTGGCCTTTTTCATGGATGAGAACCAAGGTGGATGAAAATAATAGCGAAAATCAGCGAAGTTATTCACCTCCTGATTCATTCATGACTTGGTATCTTGCTCTTGAGACTGGCAATTTTTGGTTTCCTGCTCAGGTCTATAACCGTGAGGTATCAATGATTTGTGAACCCCTTAGTGCTTTTTCAATTGAAAACTTATATTCTATCATGCTACCCTCAAAAGTGAAACATTTTACTTTTTTATGGTATGTACTATGTAGAATAGAAGATTGTGTTTGCTCACAAGTTACAATTTTGACTGCAGAATGGCCATGTTGGATTTATCCTATCATGCTATGATGCTGAGCTTAGCTATGATCCTCACACTAACACCTTCCAAGCCAGGTAATTGGACATGATTCTTGATCATTGAATGAAAATTTTTCCCTAAATATTTTTTGGAGTTTCCATGAGGAAAATATAGGATAAAAAAACAAACAAAAGGAATGTAAAGTCTAGTGGCCTAATTATTGATGAATTATCTATAACAGGTATCCACCACATGGAAGAAGAGCTGCTGCAGTAGAGCATGGCATTCCATGGGAAAGGCTAAGGGCGCCGCCTGTTGATACTCCTCCACATGATCTTCATATCTCTGATTGTCTAAGTGATTTGCATCCAGGTGATCACATAGAGATCCAATGGAGAAGAAACAAAGAATTTCCTTATGGTTTGTTCCTGTACTCTACATGTTCTTCTACCCTTATTGTTTTCTTGGCTTGTAAAATGTTAGGTATCATATCAGCAAAGAGCTATTTAGATAAACATAAAACAAGAATAGCTATATGTTCAGAATAGTAAGGATTAAATTTTGAGTCTTTGATAAAATAATTACTTCTCCAATCTTAATTATGCATTTTTATTCACATCTATTTACCCTTCTTGTGTTGAAATTCTGATAGTAGCTTAATGAGATGCATCTTTGTGGCAGGTTGGTGGTATGGTGTTGTAGGCCACTTGGAGTTTTGTGATGGGAATGAAAATTACTGCCGTTGTCATAGTAGTGGTAAGTTAATGCATTTTTCTTTTAAATGAATGTGTTTATATCATTCATTATATTTTCTTGGCTTTAGTTTTCACTTTTTATCATTCATTTAATTCATGTTCTGTTCCTCCCATCTAGTTGAACTATGTTCTGGCTTAAATTGTCTAGTGGATCATTGCAAGGATATGGTTTAGGGATTGGTTGCAAAAAGGATTGTAGGCTTCAGATGAATTCTGCTTTCTTAAATTTAACTGAATATAGAGTATAAAGCTGCAAAAATGGAGAGAAAAAAGATAATTCTCAGAAATTTTGAAGACACAGGAATTAATGAAGGTTAAAGTCTACATTAGATTAAATATTTTATAGTTTTGTCATTTAGCGTTATCATGTTTTTCATTCTAGAGGTTATAAGGTGAAAAAAGTGACGTAAATGAAAGTTTCACTTGGACAGACTAAGGCCACACTATGTTGTAATGGTATTATCATAAATATGATAATTTTTTTTGCACCAAAAAAATGATAATTTTTTTTAAGAATTAAGATATAGATAGGGAAAAATATATGAACTAAAACATGATTATTTACATTCTATCAATTTATTTTTTAATAGAGCTAATATTTATATTGGGTTGACATCATCATTGTATTATAACTAGTTTTTAATTTCTTAAAAAAATAATTAAAAAATATAATCGTTATCAAATTAAAATAAAAGTATTATTTAAGTTATGATACTAATTTCTTTATTATGAAAAAATTATATATATGTTAGGAGATTTGAAGGTAATGTAATCAAGCTTTGATACTGAGGCATTGTACAATATGCATATCGAATATTCAATGTGAAGACGTTAATTTTAAAGTATCGGGCATCATAGCAAGACCACAATTTGGGCTAGGTTCCTTTCCTGATAATAAATCAAAAACATGGACCACCATCTATGCAATATGATTGGTCCCCTGGACATATCATGGTCAGCATGTCATAATTCCACCAACATATTGATAACTCGTGTCCCTGATCCACATTTACGATCAACTATGTTAAAAAAAGAAATCAATTATAGTTTTTGCTCTCTTTTTGCTGTGTATTCCATTTTTTCTGATATTGGTAGTTATGATCAGAATGATCCATGGCCTCCTTCCCAGCTTATGTTTCATTTAACATTCCCTTCACTGCTTATAACAGCAGGTTTTACTTTTTACACTTTTTTCATAAATATAACAGCATATTGTTATGTTTACACATTTTACATTTTCCTTCGTCACTCTAAGCATGATAACATAGTTTTCACACATTTTCACATGTTCCTTTCAATTTTTACCATATTTTCACAATTTCTTCAAAATGGTCTTAATGCAACATTAATAAATTGATAGTCAAGGACAACTCAAATTTTAGTCATGGCATTAGCCTTTGTTATATTTCCATTTACAAAAGGCATTTCTTATGATTCAAACATAGTTTATTTGACACTGCATTATGTGTTGGTTGCAGACACAGTGGTGTTAGAGTTCCATCAGTACACTCATGACTCACGTTGGAGAAGAACAACTATAAGTAGGAAAGATCACAGGGAGGAAGGAAATGAGGCTGATGGCTTTTATGGAGGAATCAGAAAGATTAAGAATGAGAATGAGAATGAGATTTCCATTTGGAAAAGCCTTTGGCCTTCTGAAGTCTTGGACTAATCAGATCAAGTTTTTCACTTAGCATTATGACAAGACTCAAGACTAGTATTCTCATTTTCATCATTCTAGGCAGGTACTTCTGCATCAGAGAAAAAGGGGTGTCTCATTCAGCCAAATGAGCATTGAGACCATCCTATACTTCACCCCTTTTTTCGATTTTTTTTCATGGGAAAGTTTAGGCCTCTCCAAGTGATTTCAATCAATGTATATAACTCATTTTCATTTATGATTTATGCACACTGCTGGCATAGAATATTCACTCCACAATATATAGAATGATTAGAATCAATCTGATGATATTCTCAAATATTTATAGATTTGAAATCACATAGCAATATAGCTTCCGTACCAAGAAATGTAAGATGTAGTTCAGACATTATTCATGTGAAAGTGGATCATTAGCAATATGTCTAAAGAATGCCCTCTCTCTGTGCGGATTGAGTTTTCTTTTGGCTACGATTTACGAAAGAGGTATGCAGCCTCAGTGATCTGCAACACTTTTGCGGATGCAGTATAGTCCCATCCAATCTATCTTTCTATAACAAAGTATTTAGGTAATAATGGACTAGTAATTCTACCAAAATCTTCAATGTACATTTCAGTTAGGTGCAAAAAGAAAAAGTGATATAAAGGGAGATGGAGACTGTTATTTATCCAACGTTGATGTGAATTAAAGCATTTAGTAAACATAACTCACTTTACATTAACGATAGTTAAGTTTTTACTTGTTCACTTTACACTTCTTTTTACTTTAGAGCAGCCAATTCTTGATGGAAATTTTTAGACATAACATATATAATCAATTTCTATAACCCATTGTTATCATATGCTTCCCACCAAATAGGATAAAATGATGGAGTAGAGACAGCAACAGCAAGAATGACTCTAAAGTAGTAATTTTAACCGTTCATTTCAGCTAACTCCTATATTCTACCCATACATTGTGTGACTCAATCACTTCACTTTGCCTCCCTCATAACCCAAGCAGAGAAAAAATCTTGGCAATGGCCTATGACATACCAATTTCATTTGGGTCAACTCACCTCTTCTTTGATCCTTATTCCATTGGGTTGATTGTGTTGATGTCACGGATTTCATGTCAAGTTTCCTCACCAAGGGTGGTTTCTCCTGTGCTTCCATTTTATCTTCTAACTTGTGATGAGCAATGGCTTTTCCCATGTTTGATGTACCAAACAGAAACTTCTTAATACTTTCTCTCCTCTTCTTCCTTGTCCAAAAACTACCTCTTTCTCTCTCATCTTTCTTTGTCTCCGCAGCAAGTTTGGAAACACAGGTCCTCTTGGGCTCAATGGTCTTATCATTGCTAACTCCCACTAGTCTCACCTGTCTTGCAAACACCAAACCTTTGGGCTCATATAGCACATTTATTCTTCCTGATTCATGCTTCAATGGCTCTTTCTGAATCTCACATATCAGCTTAGCAGTGTCACAACAATGTGACTCAGGTTGACTTGACTTTGATAGCCCCACATTTTCCTGGGACTTGTAGTTGAATCCCCTAAATGGGGACAGTGATCTAGTCCTCCTGAGGCCATGTTTTGCCTTTGTTTTCCCTCTCTTTTCCTCTTTGACCTTCTCCAGAGCCACCATGAAGGGATCAAAATCATCATTCCACAAACTATGGCGTGAAAATGGAAGCTTAAGCATTGATCCTGGGGACCTTGGAGATGTCACTGTTGAGCTTGGTGTGCTCTTAATGTTGGCATCTCCACTCTGATGTAGCCTTGGAGGAAGTTTGAGTTTGAGGGGTGGCATCAATGGCAAGACTTTACCATCACAGAATAGCTCATCAGCAAATGCCATGTTGGGCAATGAATCCATACAATCATTATTTTGGTTTGTCTCAATGTCCAAGTCTTTAACATTAAAACGGCGACTAGTTTCAAATTCAAACTCATCCACATTAGAGTTTGCATCCTCATGTGTTGTTCTTGGTGTTGTTGGGCCTGTTTGAAAACCAGAAAGTACTCTTAGTTTGAGTCTTCTAGGACTAGTTGGTGCACTGTAGAAGCACACTTCTTGGCTGAAGTTACTAGCACTCATGTAACCAAACTCGTTGGAAAAAGGGATATCCATCATTTTGACACACAAACCTTAGAGGCTTATAAAGCAATGAATGACCAAAGGGGTGGCTATGTTTTGTAAAAAAAAAAGAAACAAGTATAATGATGGAGGAGCTTGAAAACAGCTATAGTGTAGGGAATTTTTTTCCTGAAATGAAGGGATTTGGATTATATATATATATATATATATATCATTCGTCAAAGTAATCTTCAAAGTTCAAAGCTCTACCAAAATTAAATAGATCGCTTTTGGGGAGTTTTTCTGGTGTTGTGTCCCTTTCTGTGTTGGCCTCATTAATGCTGCATTTCATAAATATCAGGAATGTTAATGTTCATTCTAAGCAACTTAATCCATGATATTTTTCTATTTATCGTGACACTATTTGTTGTCTTCTTATGATTTCTTTGTAACAAATTTGCATAACGTACAAAGCATATAATTTATCTTGTGACACTCTCTCCCTTGTAGGTACCTTGGAACATACCAAACGATCACAATCAGAAATTCAGCATCCCAACATGAATATTCTGAGTCGTGCAGAAAATATAGTCCCCAATAATACGAAAGATCTAGTTAAATAAATCCTTAAAGCATATGGGTCACGCTACCACAACTTTGGTCAAGGTCCTCCTACCCGTGACATACCTATATATGAGGAAATAAATATAATGGTGCTATTACCCTTTGACCCTCCTCAGTAGCCTTGACTCTTGAATAGCCATATATATCCATATCAATTCATGATAATTCTCAAGTGTTATTAGCGCCATCATAGGCACTTGATTAGCGTTCACGGTATTGCATTTAAAGTATATATATGTTGTCTTGTTATATCAGTAACTTTTGATTTTGAGCTGAGTTTAGATTGGTAAATATTTGAATATATGCAGACTTAAAGTAAATTATATGCATCTTTCAATTAGGCAAATCTTAAGCAATTAACAGAGGACTGTAGCATTTCCTCAAAGGCCGGTATAAAATTTTCCTTTACCCATGAATGTGATTTATATATTTAATATCACAGACATCAATAATTCTATCAATATGACAATTCAGGATTAAATAACAATGTAAAAAAACTTTACATTATCTGTTTATTTAAATTAAATTGTAAAACATTTGTGGTTTAATATATTGCATGCTTGATAATGTTACAAAAAAAAGATACTTTCTCATTTGAAGCAACAAGTGATATGCATGTATCGTTGAAGAAAGAGATTACACTCTAACAGGACCACCCGTATTAAATTATAAGATGAACACGACAGATGACTGATTTATCTGTCAACGTTGGATGAAGAACAAATTGGGCAAATTGAATGTGTGTTGGATTTATGTCTTTATAACCCAACGTTTGGCTCTTTTATTTTTTTAAAAATTGTTACACAAATGTGACATCACATTACTGTGCAATTGTAAAAAAAAGTAATTTGTGTTTTTTCTTTCTATTTTTTTTTTTTTATTAGGCCAAACTTTGACCCAGAAACTCAAGCACCGTTTTTTACATTTAAAAAATTAATAAAAATATAAAAGTAAAGCTATAGAAACAATGTTAAAGTAATTCTTAAGTTTGCTGCTAAAAGTGATTCTATCTTATTCCAACAAATTTGCTTCTGATGATAAATATTTGATTTAGAGAAAATATAGTTATTAAAATTTGTGTTTGTATTTTTAAAGAAAATAAGATTACCAAGATCTAAGGTGTCATTTAGTTTCCAATTTTTTTTAATTTTAATTATAAAATTAATATTTTGTTTTATATTTTCAAAGATTTACATATACAAAATTTATTTTTACTGTTTTCTTTCTAGAAAAATATTTGAAAATAAAATATATAATATAATTAAAAAATAAAATATATATATATATATATATAAAATCGATCGAAAAAATAATTTTTTTTATCGAGCCTAAAAATTAAAAAACTTCATGAATTACTTGATGAGTGTAAATAACGAAGAGGATGCTGAGGCCCAATTTTGCAATGTCACCCAAATTTAATTTGTGTAACAAAAAAATATTGTCAAAAAATATAAAAAGGCATCCTGCACGTAAGAGTAAACAATTGAAATATTGATAAAAAAAAAAATTGAAACAATCAACAGCCAAAATTTCAAAAGCTTATAGATATACAGTTAAATGCCCCTAATGTTTAAGATTATAAATAAATCACTATAATCTTATAAAATTTGATAAAATATTTATAATCTTTTCTGGTAAAATTCCAGTAGCAAATTTTATTAATATTTTCAGTTTTTATTGAATAATGGTTCATTCAAATTTTTTTTACTAAATTACATCTTTATTCCCATGCTTCAGCTTAAGTATAACTTTGTCCGCTAAATTTAATAGTTTTTTATTTTTAAATTGTTCAAAGTAAATTCTTCGTATCAAAATTTGCCCCAATAATTAATAGAAATGTAGTGAAGATGTGGAGTGACATTCATTTTGAATAAAAGACAAGAGAAAATTACACTAAATATTTTTTTAAAAAATAAAAACAAAAAATATGTTACATTTTATACATTTATTTTTATTCAAATATTAAAGAACAATGCTAATTTGTACCCTTAAAGAATTAAAAAATATTAAAATCCTATTAAACACATATTTAGTAAAAAAAATTATTTAAATTACATTTTGATAGACAATAAATAAAATTATTTGCATCTTATTAAAATGGCACTTTATGTTAATTGAGTTATGATAAATACTCTTCATTCGTCATAATCTTACCAGAATCGGAGAAGATTTTGACAAGTGAAAGATACTCTGAAAACAAATGGCATCAGAGTAACCCATCTCGTCTAATTCCAATGCTCATTACTGTCACTGATTCGATTCACGGCTGCGGAATCTTTTTGCAAAACTGTAATTTTATTATTTTTGTATTCTAAATCATTTTCAAATTATATCTCTTCGGAAAAACTCTCAATCAACCAATAAAGCTCATGAGCTTTTAGAAAAAATGGTTGGCTTTGTTGGAGCATATAAAAAAGCTTAAAATAGTGAAGAGATTTTCATTAGATTACGAGTAAATCATATAAACAAACTTGGATATCACAACCAGTCCAAAACTTAACGCTTGCTTTGAGAGTGACCAACCATTACAGATATTTTTATTTTTCAGGTGATTCAAATAAATTGAATGAATCCAGGTTTGGGGGATAAAGTTCAATTTATGAGAGTAAAAACAAATTTTCTTTCAACTAACAGAGGTCAAACAAGCAAAGCTTTAGTTTGAAAACTTTTTATTTATTAACATAAATTTCCATTCTTCTGTTATATGGACATCTTTATGCAAGAGCCTTTTCTCCTTTGCATTCTAGTTTAAAGTGAATGTTTGCATTGCTTTTTCT